GGTTTGTCAGAAGGGATGTCGACAAACATGACAAAGTTGGTTGAGTGTCCTGTGGTTGATAGCGTGCCTCTTCGTGCACTTGTCTTGTATACAGGGCTTGGGTAACTGGCTTTGGGTTGAAACTTGGATTTCTCACCAGGTACAATCCATAACTAATCAACAAGTTAAGGAACAATTCATTGACCTTTTTGCGGTTAAAATCAATGCGGGCAACATGATTTCTGCAGCAGTCAAATGTTCAAGAGTGCCAAGTTAATATGATATTTTTCCAGATACTGYAAAAAAAAGACAAACATGCTCCAAAGAACAATTTTTCGGATTGTTGGCCGATTCTGCCGCGCTTAGGTGCAAAACCACAGGCCCCTCGCGCAAGTTGCTTTCTAACCGCCAAAAGAGCTATTGATTTTGTAGCTTTAGCACAATGGGGTTAACTCGGCAGAGTACGAATCAAATCAAGGGTACCCCTGAGTCAGTAATGTTGGTAGTAGTCACTGACAGCGGTAAAGCTCAGAGTTTGCTACCTCCTCAGTCGTTTGTTTTACGACCTCAGTCATAGGTCATTTGAAAAAAGTGTGGGGAACCGATACCTACGGTTGAATGTCCTTATTGAGAAGTCCACATCGAAGATAATTTGATTTTTATGACTTCATTCTGACATAAAGACAAAAGTCTCCTTCACGGTTACCTGAGCCATCTTGAAAGGTAGCCGTGCCTTTACATCGAAGCGAGACAACCGTTGAGCGCGCAATGATAGAAACCTGTGAATAATTGTCTGTAGGTGTGAAGGAAGGTTTCTATCATTGCACACTCAACGGTTGTCTCGCCTCGATGCAAAGGCACGGTTAACTTTCAAGATGACGCAGGTAACCGTGAAGGAGACTATTCCGAAAAGGTAGTACTCAATATTGACTATAACATTACAAAAAGGATACAACTGGCATCGTATCGAATAAAACTTTAGGTAATGATTCGCCGACGACCATTTTCTCTCGATCCCAGCGAGCACCTTCGATGAAAAGACCCTAAAGAAACAAAAGAATATCAGTCAATCAATAATCAATCAATCAATCAATAATCAATCAATCAATAATCAATCAATCAATCAATAATCAATCAGTAAATCAATAATCAATCAAGCAAGCAAGCAAACAAGCAAACAAGCATGCAATCAATCACTTCATCGACCAACCAACTAACTAACTAACCAATCAATCAATTTATAAAAAAGTGCTCGTCCTTATGACTTACATAGACATAGACACCATCTTCTGGTTTATGATCCATTTCTCTCTCTTCTCTTGTCACTCTAAACTCAAACCCAACGTGATCGATGGGAATTGTGTACTTACGAGCAAAGTTTTGACGGGCACCTGTCAATCAAATATGTTAAAGATACATTTCTTAATTTCTTCGCA